CATTCTAGGTGCTAATATGTACATTTCATGAGCTATGTCCATTTTAGGTGGTAATATGTACATTTTAGGTGCTAATATGTACATTTTAAGTGTTAATATGCACATTTTAGGTACTAATACGTACATTTTAAGTGTTAATATGTACATTGTAGGTGCTTATATGTACATTTTAAGTGTTAATATGTACATTTTAGGTGCTAATATGTCCATTTCATGAGCTATGTCCATTTTAGGTGGTAATATGTACATTTTAGGTGTTAAGTACATTTTAGGTGCTAATATGTATATTTTAAGTGTTAATATGTACATTTTAAGTGTTAATATGCACATTTTAGGTACTAATACGTACATTTTAGGTGCTAATATGTACATTTCATGAGCTATGTCCATTTTAGGTGTTAATATGTACCCAGATAGCATACTGACATTGAATCAACGTGGAAACATGACATCGAAACAACGTTGATCTGACATTGTTTTGCTCATCGAATTAACGTTGAACCAACGTCAGACGCGTCATTCTTTCAAAACTAACGGAAAATCAACTTGAAATCAACGCGTTGTTTCAACGTTATGAAAGCAAACCAATTTTCGATTTTCATTTAGCTTTGAAGAATGCCGCGTCTGACGTTGGTTCAACGTTAATTCGATGAGCAAAATCAACGTTGTTTCAATGTCATGAGAGACGTCGTTTCCACGTTGATTCAATGTCAGTTTGCTGTCTGGGATCTGAGAAGCTAAAGACTTCAGTCCTTGTTTAATGTCATTGAAATCTGGGAGAAACAATTAATACTCTACCATTTGTCCAGAATACGTTTTTCGGGTTAAATTGACACCAGGGTAATTTTGATGTCCAGTTTGAGTGTTTCTGGACCTTTGATTGCAGATTTTGGTATCTTTGCAAATCCGAGAAACAGTTTGAGAAATTGTGGACATTGTTCTCGTCTGAAAACTCAAATGTGTGATCACTGGCGTCTTTTTCTCTCTCCGAGAAGCAGGAATCTTTCACAAACGTTTCCATTCACACTGTCTATAAGAAACAATTGAGATTTCATGTGTGATTTTTCTTTTCCTGAGGGCAGAGCTGTTAATGAAGATGAAGGCTTCCCGAATGTCTAGCGACTTTTCCCCGACCTCTCAGACAAACGGCTAATTAGCGTTAGCATGTAATCTGACTAACGTTGACCCTGTAACCCCGTCCATTCATCCTTTTTTTGTAGTCGGTCTCTGTAGAGATCAGTGCCTGCTCTTGATCCTATTAGCACTTCCAGCATCGTCTCTCTCCACACAGCACGACGCTCGCCGAGGTTTTATTTTCTACCGCAGTGGCCAAATGATGGCGATGCAGCATGCTTGACAGGGTAATTACTTTTAATGAAATAATACGACCATCACAGGCATCAATTAAAAGCCGTGCTCATTAGAGGGGTTTGCGCTCGTCCCTCATCCCTCCGTTTTCTAACGATCCAAACAGCACGGAAGCTAAATCGAAGATTGCTGAACGTTTCCCCCCTTGGGAGCGATGGCACACAACAAAAACAAGAGGGAGAGCGAGGGGAAGACAGAGAAGAAAGGGGAGCTTGTCAATAGTGAAAGAGAAAAAAACACTGTACACACATATAGTTCTGTTTATCTTTATAATATTACAAAAAAAGTGGGCATACATGACCTGTTTTGCTTGTTTTTATGTCTATGAGACATTCTCGGGCCTCTTGCTGAGACCTCATGCCAAAGGACGCAGATTCATCACATTAGAAACCTCACACAACAGCCTAATACAGAAAAAACTCTCCTGATAGACTTCACGCCAGAGACCTCACACGACAGGCTTATACTGAAAAACCTCTCCTGATAGACCTCACGCCAGAGACCTCACGCCAAAGAGACCTCACGCCAGAGACCTCACACCAGAGAGACCTCATGCCAGAGACCTCACGCCAGAGACCTCACACGACAGGCTTATACTAAAAAACCTCTCCTGATAGACCTCACGCCAGAGACCTCACGCCAGAGAGACCTCATGCCAGAAACCTCACACCAGAGACCTCACGCCAGAGAGACCTCATGCCAGAGACCTCACGCCAGAGACCCCATGCCAGAGACCTCACACGACAGGCTTATACTGAAAAACCTCTCCTGATAGACCTCACGCCAGAGAGACCTCATGCCAGAGACCTCACACCAGAGACCTCACACCAGAGACCTCACACCAGAGACCTCACACCAGAGACCTCACACCAGAGACCTCATGCAGAGACCTCACACCAGAGACCTCACGCCAGAGAGACCTCATGCCAGAGACCTCACGCCAGAGACCCCACGCCAGAGACCCCACGCCAGAGACCTCACACGACAGGCTTATACTAAAAAACCTCTCCTGATAGACCTCACTCCAGAGACCTCACTCCAGACTCCAAATACATCACATTAGAAACCTCACACGACAGGCTTATACTGAGAAACCTCTCCTGATGGACCTCACGTGAGAGACCTCACACCAGAGACCTCACTCCAGACTCCAGATACATCACATTAGAAATGTCACACAACAGACATATACTGAAAAACCTCTCCTGATAGACCTCATGCCAGCGACCTCACACGACAGACTTATACTGAAAACCTCTCCTGATAGACCTCACTCCAGAGACCTAATGCCATAGACCTCACGCCACAGACCTCACGCCAGAGACCTCACTCCAGAGACCTCACACCAGAGACCTCACTCCACAGACCTCACGCCAGAGACCTCACGCCAAAGACCCCACGCCAGAGACCTCACGCCAGAGACCTCATGTCAGAGACCTCACTGCAGAGACCTCACGCCAGACTCCAGATTCATCACATTAGAAATGTCACACAACAGGCTTATACCGAAAAACCTCTTCTGATAGACCTCATGCCAGAGACCTCACACGACAGACTTATACTGAAAACCTCTCCTGATAGACCTCACTCCAGAGACCTAATGCCATAGACCTCACGCCACAGACCTCACGCCAGAGACCTCACTCCAGAGACCTCACACCAGAGACCTCACTCCACAGACCTCACGCCAGAGACCTCACGCCAAAGACCCCACGCCAGAGACCTCATGTCAGAGACCTCACTGCAGAGACCTCACGCCAGACTCCAGATTCATCACATTAGAAATGTCACACAACAGGCTTATACCGAAAAACCTCTTCTGATAGACCTCATGCCAGAGACCTCACACGACAGACTTATACTGAAAACCTCTCCTGATAGACCTCACTCCAGAGACCTAATGCCATAGACCTCACGCCACAGACCTCACGCCAGAGACCTCACTCCAGAGACCTCACACCAGAGACCTCACTCCACAGACCTCACGCCAGAGACCTCACGCCAAAGACCCCACGCCAGAGACCTCATGTCAGAGACCTCACTGCAGAGACCTCACGCCAGACTCCAGATTCATCACATTAGAAATGTCACACAACAGGCTTATACCGAAAAACCTCTTCTGATAGACCTCATGCCAGAGACCTCACACGACAGACTTATACTGAAAACCTCTCCTGATAGACCTCACTCCAGAGACCTAATGCCATAGACCTCACGCCACAGACCTCACACCAGAGACCTCACTCCACAGACCTCACGCCAGAGACCTCACGCCAAAGACCCCACGCCAGAGACCTCATGTCAGAGACCTCACTGCAGAGACCTCACGCCAGACTCCAGATTCATCACATTAGAAATGTCACACAACAGGCTTATACCGAAAAACCTCTTCTGATAGACCTCATGCCAGAGACCTCACACGACAGACTTATACTGAAAACCTCTCCTGATAGACCTCACGCCAGAGACCTCACGCCAGAGACCTCACGCCACAGACCTCACGCCAGAGACCTCATGTCAGAGACCTCATGCCAGAGACCTCATGCCAGACTCCAGATACATCACATTAGAAATGTCACACAACAGGCTTATACCGAAAAACCTCTTCTGATAGACCTCACGCGAGAGACCTCACGCCAGAGACCTCATGCCAGACTCCAGATACATCACTTTAGAAATGTCCCACAACAGGCTTATACAGAAAAAACCTCTCCTGAAAGACCTCATGCCAGAGACCTCACGCCAGAGACCTCACGCCAGAGACCTCACGCCAGAGACCTCACGCCAGAGACCTCACTCCAGAGACCTCACTCCAGAGACCTCACTCCAGAGACCTCACTCCAGAGACCTCACGCCAGAGACCTCACGCCAGAGACCTCACGCCAGAGACCTCACTCCAGAGACCCCATTTCAGAGACCTCACGCCAGAGACCTCACTCCAGAGACCTCACGTGAGAGACCTCACGCCAGAGACCTCACTCCAGAGACCTCACTCCAGAGACCTCACGCCAGAGACCTCACGCCAGAGACCTCACTCCAGAGACCTCACGCCAGAGACCTCATACCAGAGACCTCTCGCCAGACTCCAGATACATCACATTAGAAACCTCACACAGCATAGTATACTGAAAAAACTTCCCCTGATACTAGAGACTTTATTTTATTTAATAGGTATTTTTATTTTATTGTATTTTCATTTTAGTTCAAGTTAAATATAAAAGGGAAATGTTGCCTTAATATTTTTTTAAGGATTTTCACTTCATTTCGATTAACGTTTACTTTAAGTAACACCAGTGTTTAATGGTTTTAGTTTTATAAGAGACCTCACATTATAAACCTCACGCCAGAGACCTCTGCAGACACTTAATAATGCAGAATGAGATTATAGCAACCGAATTGCAAAAGTTTTTGACAATCTAAACTCTTGAAAGTTGTTTTATGAAGCCCATGTCCTGTTTGTTATGTAATTTCCAGTTTCACGGATGTGTGATGTTATTATTTCATCCCAGGATTCAAGCCCCACTTTCTCATGGACACAGAGGCTCCTAATTGATTTATCTCTCTCTTATTCCCTTCTTCATCTTGCTTTTCTCTCCCTCGCTCTCTCTTTCTCTCGCTCTCCTTTTCTGCAGCAATTTGGGAAGATCTTAGACGTGGAGATTATCTTTAATGAAAGAGGATCAAAGGTATGAATGACGCTTGCTTTCTTCCCCTCTGTGTGTGTGTGTGTGTGTAGCGACGATCTCTTCTGAACTCTTTATTGGCTTAGAGACGCCGGTTTGATCTTCCTCGAGTCAGATTAAAGACTATAAAGTCGAAGACATGGCAGCGCACATAATCAGAGCTAGTTCGGGGTCAGAGGTCAGCCGCTCGCAGGACTTCACCATAATCTGCTGTTTGTTCAGACGACACAGGGAATGACGAACTCTTGCGCTGCTGATGTTGACTTCAGGCTTTACAATTATAAGAGTTATGATGACTAAATTACCCTGTTCATTTTCCTCCAGAGCCTATTGCCGTGAGGCCGGGGCTAGTTGTCACACTGATAAGATATTTTGGAGAACTGCTGGAACATTAAACATTGAAAAGCCCTAAATCAGACTTTGATAGTTTAATGTTGACTAGCAAGTATAGACTACAGAAAAAAGTGTTTTACACTAATTTACGCTAATACTGGCCAATAATAAAGATACATGTGACTCTCCATCTACAGTGGGGCGAGTTGTCACACTATATGGAGAAAATGGGAATCATCAGATAAATAGTTTTTAAACAGGGTTTTTAATGTTTTTTTTTTAAGTAGGATTATTATTGTTGACTAAAACTACTAAACATTTTTTGTTAATTTAAAATAAAGCTGAAATACACTTAAACTAAGAAAAACTAATTGAAATCATTTTAAGATGGAAATAAATAAAAACTAAAACTGAAATAAAAAATATATATATATATATTTATAACGCACATAACACAATTACTTAAATTACTTAAATTTAAATGAAAGTAATTAAAAACAAAAATAAATTAATTCAAAATAGTAATAAAAGAAATAATAAATAAATAATAGTAAAATAACACCTATTAAATATTATTATTAAAAAACAAAAATGTTGAAATTGCAAAAAAGAAATTGCAAAAATTAAAAAACAAGTTTTGCTGATAATTTACTCACCCCCATGTCATCCAAGATGTCCATGTCTTTCTTTCTTCAGTCAATAGAAGTTTTTTATGTTTTTTTTTAAGTATAGGATTATTATTGTTGACTAAAACTACTAAATCATTTTTGTTAATTTAAAATAAAGCTGAAATAAACTTAAACTAAGAAACAATTTGAAATGTTTCAATCCCAACTAATTTAAATCATTTTAAGATGGAAATAAATAAAAACTAAAACTAAAACTGAAATTAAAATAACTTAGACTTATAACCTAAATTGTAATATTAAAAAATTCATTATATATATACAGTATATATATATATATATATATATATATATATGTGTGTGTATATATAACGCACATAACACAATTACTCAAATTAAAATGAAAGTAATTAAAAACAAAAATAAATTAATTCAAAATAGTAATAAAAGTAATACTAAATAAATAATAGTAAAATAACACCTATTAAATATTATTATTAAAAAACAAAAATGTTGAAATTGCAAAAAAGAAATTGCAAAAATTAAAAAACAAGTTTTGCTGATAATTTACTCACCCCCATGTCATCCAAGATGTCCATGTCTTTCTTTCTTCAGTCAATAGAAATTAAGGTTTTGATGAAAACATTCCAGGATTTACTCCATATAATGGACTTCAATGGGAACCAAACAGTTCAAGGTCCAAAAGACAGTTTCAGTGCAAACTACAAACTGTTCAAAGGGCTTTAAACGATTCCAGACGATGAATAAGGGTCTGATCAAGCGAAACGATCGCTCATTTAATAAATAAATAACAAAGTTTAAGTTTTATAAGCTCAAATGCTCGCCTTGCTCTGTTCTGTGATGCGCGTTCGTGACTCTCCTGTTCAAATTCGTTCATCAAAATGAACGAATCTTTTTTGAGTCAAATAGTTAATTTTGCTCGTTGAACGAACGAAATGACTCGAAAAAAGATCCATTCATTTTGATGAACGAGTTCGAACTGGAGAGCCACGAACGCGCGACACAACGAATTGTGCTTATAAAACTTAAATTTTTTAATTTATTTATTAAATGAGCGATCGTTTCACTTGATAAGACCCTTATTCGTCGTCTGGAATCGTTTAAAGCCCTTTGAACAGTTTGTAGTTTGCACTGAAACTGTCTTTTGGACCTTGAACCGTTTGGTTCCCATTGAAGTCCATTATATGGAGAAAAATCCTGGAATGTTTTCATCAAAAACCTTAATTTCTTTTCGACTGAAGAAAGAAAGACATGAACATTTTGGATGACATGGGGGTGAGTAAATTATCAGCAAAATTTTGTTTTGTTTTTTAAAAAAGTGAACTACTTCTTTAAGAGGTGCAGTCTGTAAGATTGACAACTAGTGGTCGAAATAGGTACTGCAGTCCAAATTCAAAATATCGGAGATCGTCGTTTCTCCTGCCTCCTGCTCCTCACACGGGTTGCCAGTTTGAGCACACGCTACAGGAACGAGCGCAATGGACGATGAAAATTGGCGTCAGTATCACAGACCAAAACAAAAACAAACATTCCAGCCTGGAAACACACATTTAAAGTAAAACAACCGGCCGTGGAAGTGTGTTTCAGAGACACGAGTGTCATGTTTCCTCAACATATTATAGTATTTTTATCCTTTAGTGACAAAGTGATACAGCACCTTTAACATCAAAGCGTTCAAAGCCCATTACCCATGATGCCTTGCTGTCCCCACCACCAGCGTTGCTGTATAACGAACTCACCGGCCCACTAAACAATCTATTTTCTAAGCAGCAACAATTTGCATTCAATATGTTTGTCCCTTTTGAAAAATGGGCTCTCTTTTACCCCTCTGTGTAAGCTAATTATCGCATGATAAAACGGCGGAGCCGGCGAGAGCAGATGCTGTCGTGTGAGATGTCCACAGGATTCATTTGGCCCTCCTCAGTTTACTCCTTTATCTCTCTGACTGATATATATATGTGTGTGTGTGAAGAGAGTGTCTAATATTAACCGACCCCTCGGGCTGATAGTAGCTCATCCTGTATTACCCCAACACCTTCCAGCAGTCCGTCATCTGAAGCCCCGCCCCCTCCTCACTCTGATTGGTCGCTGCATCATGATGATCTTTCAAATGTGGTAAAGCCACATTTCACACTGCTGAAAGTATTTTAGGTGTTATTTCCGACTGAGACTGTGTGTTTTACTGTCGTGTTTCTCTGTAACCTTCCCTTTCGTGGGCTCCTGACTCTCTCCAAACCCCTTCAATGCTGTTTCTCTCTCTCTCTTTCCTGCTGCTTCACTCCATGCGTCCGCAGGGCTTTGGCTTTGTAACTTTTGAAACGAGCGCAGAAGCAGATCGCGCGCGGGAGAAACTAAACGGTACAATCGTAGAAGGACGTAAAATCGAGGTGCTTTCCTTTCCCCTTCTCCTCTTCCGTCCTCCTTTCCTGCCTGCTGACCTCATTTCCTGTCCTCATCCTGAGATTCACGAGCATCTGCATGTCACCTGCCCAAGTGTGTGTGTGTGTGTGTGTGTGGCATTTTAAAGGAAGATTCTGGGTTAAATACAACATGCTCTATTGGGGTTAATCTAAATAAAGAGGTAAAAACAAGTCATATTTTACCCCAAATTTAAAAGAATAAAACAAGGAACTGTATTTTATATAAAGAAATGTTTTTTTTTTTGGTTTTTTTTGTTGTTTTTTTGTTTTGTTTGTTTTTGGGTTTTTTTTACTGGAAAATCCTAACATATAATTAATTTATATAGCATTTTTTTATTTCCATTGCTGTAGCTTATAAAATAGCTAATAATAATATATTAATATAGCTCATTATTTATTAATATTATAATTTATTTTAGTATTTATTATATTATATTAAATGTATTTATTATATTATATTATATCATATTTCTTATCATATCACATTATATTATAATGATTATATTATTTGTAAGTATATTTTGTACACATTTTTCACATAAAATAGTATATTATAATATTATATTGCTATAGCTTATAATATAGCTAATAATAATATATTAATATAGCTAAATATTTATTCATATTATAATTTATTTTAGTATTTATTATATTATATTACATGTATTTATTGTATTATATTATATCATATTTCTTATTATTATATTATATTATTTGTAAGTATATTTGGTACACATTTTTCACAGAAAATAATATATTATAATATTATATTGCTATAGCTTATAATATAGATAATAATCATATATTAATATAGCTAATTATTTATTTATATTATAATTTATTTTAGTATTTATTATATTATATTACATGTATTTATTGTATTATATTATATCATATTTCTTATTATTATATTATATTATATATTATGTGTAAGTATATTTTGTACACATTTCTCACAGAAAATGAACATTTCACATTGAGTACATCATTATCTGACAGCAGCTTCTATCAATAGATATTAAGTTAGAATATTTCTTGAATATTTGATCTCTAAGAGGAGTTTAATCTGTTGGATCTAAATCTTTAAAATATTTATTAACCTTGTCTTTCTTTAAATAATGTATAACCAGCCCAGAGCAAACTGTGTGTTAATAGAGAATTCAGATTGTCATATCAGATATCACGTTCAAAAGTGTTTTGTTTTTTGTTTTTTTCAAAAATTCATGGGAGATTTTTGATCATTGCTTGTGTATGTCATCAATTAAAAATGTTTTTGCAGATATTTAGCTAAATATCCGGATATAATATATTCTGTAAGAGTGCATGAACTCAGAACAGCCGGAAGAGATGCATTGTGGGTCTTTACAGGAACAGCCGAGAGAGATCCCTCTCATGCATGTGTGTTTTGCATGATCGCAGTGTTTTATGCATGTGTTTTTGATGTATGTTCCTGCGGCTCGCTCACATCTCTCTCTGTCTCTCTCTCTCTCTCAGGTGAACAACGCCACGGCGAGAGTGATGACGAATAAGAAAGTAGTAAACCCGTACA